GCTCACAGGCGCTCACAGGTGCTCACACGGGCGCTCACACGGGCGCTCACAGGCGCTCACATGGGTGCTCACAGGCGCTCACAGGCACTCACAGGCGCTCACAGGCGCTCACACGGGCGCTCACAGGTGCTCACACGGGCGCTCACAGGCGCTCACACGGGTGCTCACAGGCGCTCACAGGCATTCACACAGGCGCTCACACGGGCGCTCACAGGCGCTCACAGGCGCTCACAGGCGCTCACACGGGCGCTCACAGGCGTGCACAGGCGCTCACACGGGCGCTCACACACACACACGTGGCAGCGGCAGCTCCCCAGCCCCCGAGGAAGGAGGGCCCTGGCCTGTGGCACCGACAGGGCCCAGTGCCCTCTGCCCTGGACGTCCGCACAGGCGCCCTCCGTGCCGTCGCAGGCCCAGGGGCGTTATTTGAAGAACGACGCCGACGGTTCGCAGTTCGCCACAGGCCGCGACTCAGGCCAGGGATGGCCGCTGCTCCCGGGAAGTGACCGTGTGACCCGGGTGCAGGCTCGTCCCAGCAGGTCACACGCCAGTGACTGCGGTGGGTGGGCGGGCGGAGTGGGTTATGCAGGCTGGGAAGTGGGGTGCGGGGGGGCAGGGGGCAGCACCCAGGCCAGCGGCTGGGGTCAGGGGCCCACGCTGGGGCGGAGCCAGGCCCTGGCCTGGGAACTCCCGTTCAAGTTGTGCTGGCTCCGGGCGGCTGCGCCCCAGCCCGCGAGGGCCCAGGGCCACGGCTCCCGACCCCACGCGTCCAGCCTTTCTCCCCCCAAGTCTCCCGCCCTCGGCACCCGCCGCCCAGTACGCCACTCCGTGCGGCCTCGGGCGCTCTGCCCCGCAGAGGTCGGCGAAGGCCATGCTGCCAGCCGGCCCTGGCGAGGCGGCTCCTGGACGTCGGCCCTGCGGCCGCCGGCAGCCTCCCGGGGCTGAGCGACCCACAGCCGCTCTGTCCCGCTCGGCGGCGACCCTTGGGGCGCCTGCCTCAGGCTGGAGACGCCCCTCCCGGCTACCCAGTGAGCCTCCACACACCGGACATTTCCAAAACCCTTCAGGAAACCAGTCGCTTGGCCGCTGGCGTGGATGGGGCCTCGCGGGGTCTGGCCGGCCGGGGCGGCGTCCACTGTCCGAACCAGGGGTGGCCACCCCATGGCCGATACGGAGGCTCTCGCAGTGGCTGCTGTCAGCTAGAGGCCGGCGGCAGAGTGGTGGACACAGTGACCCCACAGCCTGGGGGGGGTGAACGGGGTCCCTGGGAGAGGGGAGGGTCCAGGCCCCGGCTCCCCCTTCCCCGGGAGGGGACGACAGGCAGGAGCAGCCGGGCAGTGGAGACCCCTGAGCGCCGCGCCGGCTCCTGGCCCCGGGCTGGCCGCCCAGGGCGGGGGACCGTGGGAGGCCGACGCGGGTCCATCCGGTTCCCGTTGCTCCCCCAGACCAGCGCGCCCGTTTCTGGCCCTTTTCCACGCCCCCTCGGAAGGGGCTCGGCCGGGCAGCTTCGGCCTTGCTCGGGCCAGTCCCGTCTGGCTGGACTTTACCCCGGGGGCGGGTGGCCCCGAGCCTGGTGTGCCGCTGCGGCCGCTGTCCGGGTCGCCCGCTGGGTCTGTGCGCTGCGTCGTGACGGGGTGGCCACCCCGCTGCGCCAGTTCAGAGCGGGTTGGTGTGACAGAGGCTCGGCGCTCCCCGGCCTCCCCGAGGCAGGGGCCTCCCTGTCCCTCACAGCCGCCCAGGCCATGGTGCCCCGCCGGGCACCACTAGGGTCTCGTCTCGGGTGGCGGGCGCTCGGTCCGTGGGCTGCACCGGCCACTGCCAGCGCCTGTCTGCGCCCCTCCCGCACCCGGGGAGACACTGGCCCGCAGGGTGGACGGCCAGATGGTCACGGAACACGGGGAGGCCCCTCCCTGGCGGCCTGGGGTCCCTCGACCCCGGCGGCCTGAGTCCCCCCGCCAGGGAGCGACCGCTGGGCGCAGCAGACCCCTCCTGCCCCCGCCGCCCTCTGCCGCGGGTCTCAGTGGATCCGCCTGTCCTGCTCCCCGTCTGTCTCCGGGGCGTCGTCACCCCTCACCTCTGGCCTGTATCCCAGTCAACACAAGGACCGTTGACACACCAGCCCCAAGGTGGCAAGCGAGACGCGGGTCCCACCGTGAGTCGCTACGAGCGGTTTTCGGCCCACAGAGCCTCGAGCCCCGGGAAGCCCGGCGAGCTGCAGAGCCCGCGGCTGAGGGCGCCGAGCCCCGCCTGCCGCACGCCGCCACCCCGACGCCCAGTGAAAGCTGAGCCTGGCGGGCCGGGCGGCCCGGGCGCAGCTCTCTGGGCCTCGGCAGACGCCGGCGACTGCGCAGGGCCGGGCCGCTCGGCCTCAGACGCGCTCCTGGCTTTCATTTCCTCTGCTGACAAGGGTCCCCGCTGACCAGGGACAGAAACGAGCCGGGTCTGAGACTCTGGCGTGGGCGCCGGCCGCTCTGACCTGCGGGCTGGCCGGTGGGGGAGTCCAGTCGCGTCCCCTCCCCCAGTCGGGCCCCGGCAGTGGGCTCCAGTCCGGTCCACCCCATTGGGGTGCCGGTTGCCCACCCCTGCTGGGCGGCGCCGGCAGGCCAGGCCACAGGCGGCCCCTCCTGGCTTCCCGCCGGCGGGCAGGTGGGCCCAGCCCTGCACGTGGCCCGGCCCGGCGCCTGCAGCCAGCCACGTCCTGCAGCCTCCTGCCCCACAGCGGGGTCCCCAGCGCCCTCGGGGTGGGGAGGGCCGGGCTCCCCAGCGTCCTCAGCATCCTCGGTGGGGAAGCGCCCTCGGCGGGCCAGGTCTTATTTAAACAATGTAATCAAGGCCGAGGGCCGGAAAATGGATACAGGAGCGGGCGGCAGGTGCCTGAGCTCCCCCTCCCTGCGGCCCAGGCGCCAGGTTAGAGCCAGACGGGCCGAGAAGGCCGCAGGGAGGGCGCTGGCCAGCGCCCCGGCACCCGGCGTCAGCACAGGGCCGCTGGGCCCCGGGCCTGGCCAGCCCGCAGCCCGGCACAGGCCCCTGGTGTCCAGGGGTGCTGCTGGGAACCGGCGCCCCTCCTTCAGCCGGGCTCCCGCGCCCTCGCGGCCCTCTGGGGCCCTGTTTGCTCAGGGAAGCAGGACGACCCCACGCGACCCCACTCGGGCCGCAGCCGACTGGGCGGACGGCGGCCTGGAGGCCATTTGGAGGTGCATCTCCCCCATTTCACCCAACTTCTCTCAAAGTTAAAAAACAAAACGGCACACAGCTGCGGAAGGCTCGCGCCCCCCCGGGCTGCCCGC